TCAAGTCTTTTTCCTTAAGTTGATTCAAGTGAAACCAATTTTTAATTAGGCATCTCCTCAAGCTTCTCCTCATATATATATTTTTTCTTTTTCTTTTCTTTCTTTCTTTTCTTATCTCTTTTTTTTATATGTCAGGATTACTATATCTGGATAGTCTTTAATGATTTTGAACTTCACTATCCTCTTCTTAAAGTTAATTTTTTTTACATTTATTCACTTAACAAATTTATATTAACTTAAAGATTTGATAAAGTTTAATTCTTTTCTTTTTACATGAATCTTTTAAGATATTTAATACTTCAAAAATACAAATTTCCTTTACTAAAAATAGAAAATATAGACTTATTCTCTTTTACCAAATATCTTGGCCCCTAGAATTAACCTTTATTACTGAAAATTTTTACTTAAATTTACTATATATTTAGAAACATAAATGTAGTTATCCAAATTTGACCTCTAATATCAAAGGTCATATTAAATTTAGAATTTTGAAAATATAATTAAGTGAGGACAAATAAAATTAAGTTCTTTCTCTCTTTCTAAAAATGATTTTTCTTCTTCACCCCCCCAAACTTAAATTTTTAAAAGATTTTTACATGAAGAGCTTTAAAAGTGAAGGGTAAAAGAAAAAAAAATTTATACCTGTTGGAGATTCTGATTTTTTAACATAAATTTTGAAAATACTGCAGGTGCTAAAATGAAAACTACAAGGCTAAAAATATTAAATTTCACATAATACGTATAAAATTTGCTGAGAAAGAGCTAATCACAAAACAGAACAAATTTCTAAAAATAACAACAAAACTAAACTAAATTCTATAAATGAAAATAGTCTTCCACATTACAGTCTCACATACCATAACAACAAAGTCTAAACAACATCACAACACAAACAATACAATCACACAGTACAAACACAAAGAAAACTAACTAAATAGATCACCAGTCATCATCTTCCTCATCATCGACATCTAACTTCTGCTGCTGATATGGAGTATAAGTAGGGTGAATAGGGAATTGAACTGTATGGTCACCCCTCAGGTATCTCACTAAAGCATCATCATAAGCAGCATCATACTCAAATTTCTGGCGAATCGGATCATCAGTGTGAGCATTCCTGGCCTATATATTCTGCATTCTATGACCCATCCTCAAAATATCTCCCTGTTGTATCATCATCTGATCCAACAACTCCCTGTTGCTAGGGTCACTTGAAGTAGGCTCACTAGGGGTTCTATAAGTAGAAAGAAAATCCCTGGCCTGTCTTCCAGACCTCCAATCAACATGGGACTCATAAGTCTTGATGTTGGAAGGCCCAATGGGTCTCTGAGGCTCATCCTCTCTTCATTAGGTCTGAAATCAACTCTTGCCTACTCACAAAGTGTGTAAATAAGAGCAGGGCGTGCCAATCCACCAGTGGTCTCTCCTAGAGCAATAGATCGAATGTTCATATAAATGATAGAGCCTACATTTATATCCATCACTTGTTGAATATAATAGTTCATGATGGCTCTATCCTTGGTCACTTCACTATGATGATTCGTTGGAATCATCCTCCTAGAAATAAAATAGTGTCAGACTTTAGACACTACATTTAACATAGAAAGGGAGAAGTTAACTTTAACTCAATTTTTTATTCTCCAAGCCCCTTTCTCACTAGTTAGAAAAGAAA